CCCCCCCCCCCCCCCCCCCCCCGTATATTTTTATTTTACTTTTTCCAATTTCAAGTTAGTTTCCATCGATTACCTTATTTAATTTATTATTTTTGTATCATTTTTGTTACATTTCTCATTTTTTCATTTTTTATATCTATTGTTTTTATTTTTTAAACTAAGACTAATCTTTAAAAAAGGAAAAAAAATGATGATGGAGGTAGAAAGTAATTTAAAAAATTTAAATGAAAATTTCAAAAAAAATTAAAAAACAAAAATTCATCAAAAATAATCCCAACTTTCATTTTGTTGTCTAAAACGGGCATTTCCGTTATCCCTCCGTTAGAAACTTAACGGCGACCCAAAACTAGCAAATTTCAGTAAAGTTGGGATTATTATGCATCACAGTGAAAGGTGATATTATTTTTGAAAGACCGGGTAAAGTTAGGATTATTTTGGGCAATTTTTCCTTATTACTATTATTATTACCAAGTAATAATATATACATGCCTTCACTATATATAGAAGAATCATTCATTTTGTTTTCACATAGATTAAAAAACCCATAGTGATGTTGAAAAGATATTAGATATTATAAAGTAAACACTTAAATTTATCAATGACTTTCTTTTGTCAGGATATTTTTGATACGCAAAATTCAAACTATTGAATTGTAATTTGGGACGATAATTCTAAGTTTGTTGTTTGGTAACACAAAAATATATGAATTTGGTGCTAATAGTGCAAAAAATGATTTGGAATAACAGAACTTAATTCCATCCAAATCAATTCCATATAATTAAATTTTCAATTCAATTTCAACTTCGTCAAATCCGTGTACCAAAATGGACCCTCAATGTTTTTTATTTACTTCTTCAATGTATATATAAATTTAATTTAATTTTTGTTTCATGGACATAATAATTCTAAAAGAAATTTCATGCTTGTATTATGACTTAATTATATGAATGATCATTGTAATATTATAAAATTATTAAATTATCATGATAATTTTAAGTTTAATATGAAACAAATTTAAATTCAATTACACCAGATCAGATCCAATCAAATTAAATTTAATGAGATTAGATCAGATCAAAATTTCAAAAATTAAGACCAAAATCAATTGGATCAATCTTAAAATAACGTTGGTGGTCTATACTTGAAGAGAAGTAAGAGTAGCTCCACCTTTACAACTATAAGTGGTACAATAATAAATTCACACAACAAACATGCGATGTATCAAAAATGAGTTCGACGTCTTAAAATGATGAAAGCAAAGCACATGCATATTTTTGCCACTCAAAATGCTAGCTAGACAAGTATTATCTATGTTGGTGTCAACGTTAGTCGTGGAACAGAAGTTTAAATTAGTTTTAATGACTACATTTTGACTGGCTTCTGAGTAGTCTCAGCTCCGAATCACCAGAGACACTACACAAGTTTGCAACCGAGATTTGTTCTTCGTGAGGTGTCAATGACAAAAGGAAACGATATCAATACACAACACTACAAGGACGTAACCATATGGAGAAGTGTTATTTCGAACGAGTAACTTACTTCACTTTTTTGATAAAATATAAAATAGTTTTCTTAGGTGAGCGATTTATAAGCACATTCGAGGATTCTTTTATGATTTTTTACCTCGTCTTTTTGTTGGAGATAAATTTATTGTTTTTTATCATTTGACAATGTCTTTTTTAAAAAACAAAGACGTTGCCCTCGAATCAAGTACTATTGAGTCCAAACAAGATTGTTCACTTAACTCACTACTAAAAGCACGATAAGGGTGATTGTAAAGGCAAATACGGAGTACAAAAAATGTGTAGGCTCATCATATTCGTAGTGAAAACCAACAATTTCTCACAAGGTCACCCATATATACACTTTTTTCCAGTTCTGACTTGCTTAACTTTGAAGCTCTTTCTGTGTCTTTTTCTTAATATCTTTTTTTTAAAAACAAGAGATAACAAATACGCGAGACTAGTTGTATTCGTACTCTCTTCTTTCGAAAATGATCTTCTCATTTGACTTTTATTGATCAAAGTTTGTAATCTATGAATAAACTGTATTTCGAGATAAATGTAGAATCAATAATTTCTATATGAATGTTATTTTGAAATACGCACCGATTCATGTGACAGTCGTTTTGAATATTATTGCATGACCGAAGTCTCATATGAGATTTCATTGGAAAAATTAATTGTTCTTACCATATAATCCTACTAAACTCCGTCTCCATGAGGGGGGGGGGGGGG